ACACTTGGTTGTTTAGACTACTGGAGACGACTACGATATCCGTTAGGTGAATATTTTGGAACCGTTGAGGAAGATCATTGTAGAAATCATCACTCGTTTCAAGAGCGCTGTAATCAGTCGGTACATACACGGATAAGAAGAATGATCAGTGATGCTTCGCTCTGTTGCTGTGGCCCTGTCCAAAAGCATCAAGACGTACAGCGCATAGTCGATTGCTAATTGAGACCCAGTTAAGAAGGGAGCGCTCAGTCTTAAAACTTTGCGCAATTCCACGATGGAAAAACCGCGTGTGTCAAATTGCTTGACGCACGTAGAGTGGAGCGCGGGGATAAGGTTGGATCTGAAAAACGTAAAATAGTGACTGAAGTTTTGTAAATGTTTCGGGTACAAGACATGTTAGATTGTCCAAGTGCATTAGTGGGGCTGACCAGCTAACGGAGTTGTGATGATCATACATATTGCGAATTGCACAATATAGCTTTCAGCGTTTTCATCATTTTACGCGTCGAACAGATGACAGTTGGGTAACATTTTTCACATCCATTGCGAGACTGTTGGTGATAGCCTAAAGGAAGAGAACAGTAACCTTGAGTGGACACTGAAATGTTAAGGAATGGCACCCGGAACTGTTTACGGTGTCTGTTGGTGAAACAATAACAAAATATTCCATCATAGAACCTGGTGGCGAATCACCATTTTGGGACAGTCGCGATCTGGCAACTGTGAGAATCTGTTTACTCACCTAAAAAACAAACCCTCATTGCAAAATGGCATTAAAGAAGTATTTTCATATTACCCCAAGTCATCGCTTAGAAGTCAATCCAAAAAACTGTAACACATCCGCAATGCTGAAATACTATCTTATATTTTCACCGATTTTTGTGCTCTCGGTTTTGGCATTTTTTGCTGTTTCAGACTTAAGATCAAATATGGAATATATTATTATTATTTATCATTTGAACACACGTTTGAGTTCAGATTGTGTTCCAAACAAATCACGGTACGGTAATCTTTATAAAAAATAAAAATACCCATGAGTTGCTTGACGGCATGATACTGCCAAGTTGCCCAAACCAAAGTAGGAGAATTTTCCTAGTGAATTCACAACCGGCGGCTTTGGCTAGCCAAAGCCTGACTCGCGAGGCAGCAGGTCGGTATGTGAAAACCGCAATCTGTCGGGGACCAGTGTCCAGCTCATCGGATCATACGCCCTTTGGACGGGATCAAACGTCCAAGATGCCCAATACACCTC